TCAACCCCCAGCCAGGCATGCAGTGGAGAGAGCATCATCTGCCAGTTCCTCTTCTGGATGGAACCCCCAACTCAGCCTCTTAGAGAAGCTCCTGCTGTTCCCAGAGAAGCACCTTGAGCTAAACTCACTGCATCCACAGCGCATCCTCCACCGAGCCCATCTCAGGAAGAAGGACCATGTCGGAGCCTCTGTGGTCTGTGGGATTGAAAGCAGAGAAGAAGCCTGTTCAGAAAAGAACATGTGAGGGGCGCCTGGGTGGCTCAGTCGGTTGAGTGTCTGCCTTTAGCTCAGGTCATGATCTTGGAGTCCTGGGATCGAGCCCCATGGCGGGCTTCCTGCTTAGTGGAGAACTTGCTGCTCCCCCTGCTTGTGCGCTCTCTCTCTCTCTCTCTCTACCTCAAATAAACAAATAAAATCTTTAAAAAAAAAAAAAAAAGAAAGAAAGAAAGAAAGAAAAGGAACAGGTAAAATCAATTCTAAAGAGCCCTGAATTTGAGTGCAGAGACTTGGGTTTTAGGACCCTGAGTAGCTTGACAGTTCTACCCAACAAGTATTTACAGAATCCCTTCCCTGTGTAAAGTGCCAGTCTGGGTTCTAGATTCACCCGACAAAATTAGACAATTACACTAGATTATAAGAAAGGCTTCTATCTATCGAATAATTACTATAAGCAGTGCAATATATGAGATCCTCAGGGGCACTCTGACACTATCCATAGGGAGAAGTTGAATCTCAAAGCACTTTAAGAAAAAAAAAATTATTTATTTATTTGAGAGAGGGAGGGAGGAAGAGAGAGAGAGTGCCAGCAAGCTGGGGAAGGGGCAGAGGCAGAGGGAAAAGCAGACTTCCTGCTGAACAGGGACCCCAATGAGGGGCTCGATCCCAGGATCCCAGGATCATGACCTGAGCCGAAGGCAGACGCTTAACGACTGAGCCCCCTAGGTTCCCCTCAAAGGGCTTTAATAGAGCCATATGGCCAACAAGTCAGGATTTAAAATCATTTAAGTGTCATGCAAATCCCAGGCATTTCCACGCCACCACTCTGCCTCCTTGGACCGGCTCCAAGCTTTACCTGTCATTAACACAAAAGAATAGCAACCAAGTCTTGTAAATGTATCAAATGTATCCACTTGCCAGGGACTCAGGCTGGTGGGGTGAAATCAGGAGTTATAGTGGCGCATGCATGGTGATTAAGGATTTGGTGCTCCTTCTCCCCCTGGATGACAGTAACCGAGCAGGTGCCATGTTTAGCCAGACAATGGTGAACAAGCTCCAGGTCAGAACCAACTGATTACTCCTCTGAACATAGAACATCCCCTGCTAGACAATGTCCCCAAATGAGGGAGAAGGGATTTTTGTTCTTGTGATACTGTTTCGTCCAATTCTATAATCCAAACATCTACAGTGTTGCCATGCAGTAGCAAATATGACAGAATTATTAATTATAATATTACAGTAGTAAGTCTTAGACACCCGGCTTCTTCCTGGCCATTTTCCTTCCACATTCTTCTCTCTCTGTTTCTGTCTCTGTCTCCATCTCTATGTGTGTGTGTGTGTCTCTCTCCCTTTTTCATTCTCTCTCTCCTTTCCTTGCAGCCCCTCCCTTCCCCCCAACCCAACACACATTTACCTCTGGCTGCAGCTTGAGTATCTCTGCTTGCCTTTCAGATGCTTTGGGATTTCCCAACATAAAATGTAAAATGATGTGTAAATCACACGGCCGGGTGAGAGGTGGGAAAGAGAAATAAGCCCTGAACCAGACTCAGAGACGAGTTTCTTCCAGATGGACATGAACAGTCCCAGGGGTGTTGCTCAAAGTGGGGCTGGGCTGCTGACCCCGCTGCAAGTCCTGGGACCCAAATGATCCCTGTAGGATATTAGTCACTCTATAAAACCTCTAGGCCAGTTTCCCAGGCTATGGGGCCCTATAGGCAATCTCCCATAGGGTCTCAGAGCCTGAGAACCTATGCATCTCACCGCTCGGCGGTGGGTTCATGTTGCATCGGATGGGATTTCTCTTAAAACATGACTTAGTAAATGTCCCAAGACAAAGCTGTAAACTTTCTCAACTTCTCTCCCAGTGGGAGCTCTGCAACCCATCAGGTCACCCTCCTCCTGGCCACCGGGCATTTCCGAGCCTGGAGGAATCCAGAGTCCTTGCCACATGTGTTTCCAAGAAGGCACACTCTGGGAGTCCCAGAGATGGTCTTAGGGCAGACGAGGTGGCAGCTAAGAGCTGGGAGGAGGAAGTCCGCCCCTCAGGAGCCGGAGGTACAGGAAACACAGCCTCTGGGAGCAGCCCTCAAAGATGACTCAGCCTGAATCCCTCCCACAGCATCCCATTCTGGGATTTGTCGGCTCCTGGCTTCAACGCCTCTCTTCCCTCCCCAGCAACCAATTTCATCTTTGGATTCCTTTCCGTGGTATTACAGTTTTCTGTCACCGATGACCCAATAAAGCAGTGACAGAGCAAGAGAGCACATTCACGCATGACCCATTCCATCCCTCAGTACTACGGGCCTCCGATGTCTGCAGGAAGGAATTCCGATTTAGAAGAGGAAGCAAGATCAGAAGGAGCAGACGTTGGGAGAAGAGAGGAAGGAGGGGGGGAACGTGGCCAGGTGACAGACAAGGAGGACGAGCTATGCCAGCTAGATGGCGGGATGTGCAAGGAGGTGGCTCAGGCCTGGCTGCCGTGCCTGACACGGGCGGTTCATACTCTGGGATCAGCACAGCCAGACGCCTTGCAGGAATGACTTCCTGGTGGCACTCCTTTCTTCCTGCCCCCCATCCCCAGCCACCTGAGTCCCCACGTCTGTGTCTTCTCTACCCTAAAATAACACTAGCAACTCAAGATGAAGCCCAAAGCATTCCTCCTAAAAAGCGAAAGTGGTATTTTATGGGTATTTTCGCTCTTGAGGATGACATACGTGAATGTACCAGATCGGCCGCAAGGCAGTAGAATCAACCCATCAGTCCAATAACAGAAACCACAGTGGGTTCCAGAATCAAAGGCCTCATCCTTTATTCCAACCAGCACAGACAACTGCCCACCTGCAGAACCCACGTCTCATCCAAGAAGCAAGAGTCTGAATCCCAAGCTGAAGGGGAGGGCAGGGAGAGAAATCTAGAAGACTGGAAGAGGACAAAAGGAAAATGGCTGGGCCCTCAAGAGGCCTCACTTGCCAAGTCTTAAACCGACTTTCTGAGCACCAGTGCAATCTAAACCCCTGGGCGTGGGGGCTGATTGACACTGGCCTGAGGTGATTTCCTGTTTTTGAAGAAAGGGGGTGGGTAGGAGCTCAGAGACATATTCTGGGCACCAGGCGGCTTTGACAAAACACACCTCTCCTGACTTCAGCTTTACTGGGGCAGATATGGCAAGATAAAATTACTCCCTGGGCCAGAAGGTTTTAAAACCAGGTGGGCTCTGTTCTGAGGAAAGGGGAAGAAAGATGCCAGCTTGAGGGCTGGGCTTTGGGGATCTGACCTGGGCGGGCGCAGGCATTCCATGAGCTCACAGGCTGGCCGGCTTCAGCTTCGGCTGCCTTCTCTCGGCACCAAAGAAAGAAAGCAGGACCGAGAGTGACAAGAGAGCCAGAGACAAGTGCCAACTTCTGCTGCTAGGGGCTGGCTTTCTTGCTGTGTGTCCCTTGTTTACTCACCGGGCAGGGCTGCCGAGCAGGTGCATGGGACCGAAGTGCACTGGCCGGTCAGTAGGACAACAGCCCGCTCGGGATTTTCTGGGCAAGACTCGGTTTCCAGTTGCTGATCCGAAGGTGTCTGGATGTCGAACCGAGCTGTGAGACAGCGCACCTTCTCGCGGCGAGGGAGCAAAGTCACCATGACCATGGACAGCACTAGATGGGGGTGGGGCACGCCGCATCTCCCTTCGGGTCAGGCCTGCGCCCTGCTCACTGAGACCTTCCCCGACCACTCCGCCAAAGGCAGCACAGGGGCTTCACCCTAGTCCCCTCCACCCCAAGCTCTTGCTCTGAATAACAGCGACGATCCCCACCTGACACGTTGTTCATCCCCTCGGGTCTTCCCCGTCTCACCCTCGCAACATAGTAAAGCCTCTGATAAGTACTGTTTAAATTAGCGAGCACTTGAAGGAACCTCTTATTTACCCCTTCTTAGGCTATGCTTCTCAAGGACATGGTCCGTGTCTAACAATTCTGCACTTCTTTAGTGCCTTGGGAGGAGAAGGTGCTCTCATAAACCTATGCTGACCGGTTCTAGTGGATTCTATCTCTGGAAGAAAGGAGGGAAGACAAGAGGGTGGGAGGCCCCACAAGGGGCTCTGCCAAGCAGCTCCCAGAGTGCACACATTATCGGACCCTCCACCTTGGGGACTCGCTCAGCGCCCCTCTGCCTGGGTCTCTCCTTGCTCCCCTCCCCTGCAGGCTTCCCTTTTCCTCCAGTGCTCTGTTTACATAATTTTCCACCTTACACTCAGCGGGACCTGGTCACTCGGGGTCTCCAGGCATTACTATACCCAAATCAACCAGACCCACCTCTGCCTGACCCCAGTTGAAAGACACAAAATCCCCCAGTTTTACCTAGCACCCCAGAACCATGGCAGCTAACTTTCCCCGGGGATGAGTTTCTTTTGCCAGGAAAGCACAGTAAATTCAGGATGGGATAGGAAAGAAATCAGAGCGGGGAAGGGTGTAAGAGTCCTCCTTACCTTACTCTTTTGGGGGGAATGCCTGCTCATTGCAGATGATTTACCACAACCTGCTGTGCTTAGCAACCACCCTGAGGATGGCAGTGAGCACTTCCATTTTCACCTCACTCACAGAGGAGGGAGATGCAGAAAAGTCAGGAGCTCACAGGGAGCATCGGGGAGAACCAAACTCGGGATCCTGGTCCTCGGGCCCTGCATGCACACACCGAGTACCCGCACAGGCACTAAGGGGCAGTACAAAAGAGCCCAGGCTTTGGGGTCAGAGAGGCCTGAACATGAACGATACCATTTTGCCAGCAGTGTGACCTTGCAAAAACATTTTTTTTTTTATTTATTTGATAGAGAGAGAGCACACAAGCAGGGGGAGGGCAGAGGGAGAGGGAGAAGCAGGCTCCCCACTGAGCAAGGAGCCCAATGTAGGGCTCGATCCCAGGACCCTGGGATCATGACCTGAGCCGAAGGCAGACACTTAACAGACTGAGCCATACAGGCGCCCCCCAAAAGCAATTTGAACTCACGGAGCCTCGGTCTATGTGACGTGAAAATGAGAAAATCACATGTACGTCACAGGGTGGTGTGCTATTTAAGTGAGGGAGCTGACATAAGGTGCCCAGTTGGCGTCCAGGCATCGCAGATATTTGATAAGACCAAAATTCGCATGCGACCCTTTTGGTTTGGGTAGAACGCCAGGTACCATACAAGGCCCAGCAGAGATTTCAAAGATATTATCCGATCTTTAAAAAGAGGAGAAAGAGATGAAGAGGGGAGGGAAGACAAGGGAGAAGGACAAAAAGGAAAAGAAGACTTAAGAGTGGTTAGCAGTGTATTTGAGTGGAAGGAATAATGAGGGTAATCGTAAGCTCGCAGCTCTTTGGATGGCCGAAGGGGGCCGGGTGAGTGAGGGGAGATTCTCTTCGTATAGGATGGCCTCACACGGTCAGAATGGACAAGAAAGAATCCAACAAGGAGCAGAAAGGCATTCCAGGCAGAAGGGATCACACATGCCAAAGAACCAAGGTGAAAGGCCTCCCCTCCTGGTGGCCTGCCCCATGGAGTACCCAGGGGAAGTAATGAGAAATGAGACCAAAGAGGCAGGCAAGGCCAGACAGTGAAGGACTCAGTTTGCCTGACTGAGTAGTGGGACTTTATCGGAGTCCTCCGTTGGCGGGTGGGGGAGACGTGACCGGATTTGCTTCAGAAAGATGACTCAGGTGGTTGTGTGTGTGTCGGCGGGGCGGGGTGGGGGGTGGTGGTGGATGTCACAGCTGAGGGGAAGCTGGACCAGGGAGACGGTGTGCAGCCACACCACGTAGGAAAGCATACAGGTAGATGGCCCCCCAGGGCAAAGGAGTAGAATCTCCAAAGCCAAAGGTGAATTCCAGAGTTGTTAAAATCTAAAATATGAGTTGGATCGCCCAGCATGCTCTTTTTCTCCTGCTCTGTGTGAAAGTCACTGTGAACTCTATCTCTGCTTCCCAGCTGCTTTGTAATCCCAGAGATAAAGGTGAGTAATCCAAAGGAAAGGGCCCCCAAAACCAAAGGGAATATTTATTTTAAGGAGATTGACGTCTGTAGGAAGGGGAAAAAAAACCTGCCAAGGCCTGAGTGGAGAAGGCTGACATTCACAGATCCCTGCCATTGTATAAAGAGAAAAATTCCTCAAGATTGTGTTTGTCCAAGAAATCAGACAGTTTACGGTCCCTGAGTCAAAACACTCAAGGATTGGAAGCCAGAGTTTCCTGGGCTGAACCCAGTTACTAAATAAAATGAAAAGGAAAGAGCAATTAGATGCCATGAATTGTTGTCAGGCGGACAGGGTTGGTTGCCAAGGCTGTACTCCAGCAGATGCCACAGAAAAAAGCCAGGAACAAGGCACTCGGGTTTGCCAGCCCCCCTCCCCACCCCCCTCTGCAGTCCACCTCTCCAGCCCAACTGGTGCTGTTAGTGCTGCTGGTGGGCCACAGGGAGACCCTCTGGGATCTGGAGATGCCCTGGGACCCAGTGGAGGCTGCGAACCTGGCCACGTCCTCAAGGCCAGCCCACTCAGCACCGGGCCCATCCCAGAAATCAAAGAAATTTCCACTCTTCTTGCTATTTGAGTAACAGTCTTTGCTAGTGTCCTGCAGAGAATGACCACCAGAAGGAGTCTGCCTGTCCTCCTTCATCCTGATGGAAGATGCTATGAGGAGTGGGGGTGGGGGGCTTTATCACCTCCAGGGGAAGGAGATTAACAGGGAAAGCCACCCACAAGGGAACAGTGAAAAGGAAAGGTGGGGGAAAGAGAGAGAAGAATGAAGGGGAGGCTGCCCCAGAACATTCTGGAACCTACTCACTTCCTCCTGCACCCCCCAGGGAGCCCAGGAGCCACCACCACTTACATGCAGGCTGTAAGTAGAGAGCTCTCTGTTGGCAACAGAGCTCTTATCAGGACCACCCTGGCTGAACACTCAAGGAAGAAATAGGGACAGTGATGAGGAAAGAGTGTGCTTGACATTGTAATGCCTCATCTGGGCTCCAAGTCACTGAAAGAGACCTGTTTGTAGTAAGTTAGAATCCAGCTGCCTCCTGCCTGGGGAAAAAAATACACCAGGCCACTTCTAGCCAGGCTGTGTGTGTTTGGGGTTGCCCAGTGACCCTGGACATTGCTCAGCTGCCTCACGCATGGCCACACCTCCATGGCCCGCAGAGGGGTGCGCTTTTCGAAGTGGCGTTGCCCATGGAGTGGGGTTTGCTGCCCTCGGATCCTCCAGGATGCAAGTCCTAGGGATTGCATTTGATGAGAGATCCTTCGGCTCGGCATTCAAAGTAATGACAAATTCAGAGGGAGGTGTGAAAGCTCTTAAAGGTGAAGAGCAGAAAACATTTCATAAACACATGAAAGAGGAAAAGCCCCAGCCAACGTCTGTAAACTATTAACTGTATCTTGGTTTATTTCAAAAAAGTAGATGGACTCCGCTTGCTTTTTTTTTAATAAATTAAAGGCTGAGATTTTTTCTTTCCTCTTTAAAGTTCTTTTTAAGGAAACTCCATTTTTCCTTCTGAGAACAGGCCTAGGTGTTTTCTGGAGTCGAAGCTGATCCTGTCAACATCATCCCGAGGTGCGGCGGGGATCAGCCACACCACGTGGTTGAAATGGCCCGAATGTTCCAGCACAGATGCCATCAGGGTGTGTGGAAGGCAGATAATTCATACTCATTTCAGGGCTCCACCTTACTCTGTGGAGATCTGCTTTCTTGGGTAGACGTGGAGGGTGGGACCCGTGTTTTGAAACAAGCAGCAACACCTGTATCTGAACACACTTCATTTTTTCAAGGGCGGTGTCAGAACCCTCCACGCAGGACTGGGGGCAGGGAACCCCACAAGGCAACACCTCATCTCTTCTTTTTTTTTTGCTGACCCTCCTGCTTCTGCTCCCACTCCTTGTTTCTTTTCAAAAAAAAGGAGCTGTCAGCTAGATCACAGACATTCGAGACTAAATTAGCCATCCCTTATGGAGGTGTTTGCATTTTCCACAGCAGAAGAATTCTCTGGACCAGAGCTGCAGGAGAGGATGGTGGACGTAGAGCCAGGAAGGCCAAGACCAGAATAGGGGGAGGCCGGGGTTGGGGGTGGGGGTGTCTGGCGAGGCTTTCCCAGTATACCTCCGATGCTACCAGATTGGCCCTGATCGTCAGGCCGGAAGTGAAGACCTTTTGGATAAAGATGACCTTTAGAGAGTGAGTTGGGGGGGGGGGGGAGACAGAGCAAAATGTGATCTTATCACCCTCCCCTGGGAAGTCCTGCAGACAGGGTGGGGAGACGGCCAACGAAGCTGAGTGGATTTGATCTTCAGCCCGGTGCTACTCAGCAAGAGCTGAGGATCTGGTTGTTGAAAGACCTCTGGACTTACTTCAAAAGACCTGGAACCTCCTCAAAGTCCCGCTAGCAGCGGGGGACAGACATTTCAGCCACTGTCCCCCTCTGTACCCTGTAAAACACAAGCGATTGTGGGTAACGAAATGGGCTGATACCCTTGAAGATGCTCCATTTAGAGATGGTTTTGCCCAGTGACCTCCAGAAGCAGCGGGACTGGCCGTGTTTTCTCTGAGCAAAGTAGCTCTCTTCCACACTTGGCTGATGCCTGCCAGAAAGAGCAAGCACCCCAGTGCACACCGTTTCTGGGATAGAAGGGCAATCACGGGGCCTTGGACAATTCTCCAGGAGCCCAGAGCGTGAGCACAGGGAGGCTGACCGCAGACGTGGGCCACGGGGTCAGGCCAGGGAGCAGGGAAGTGGATGTGGCAAGGCCCCAGGTGGGCACGGCCCGCGTTCCGCACGTCAGGCCCTGGGTCTCTCCTGTTGCGAGCTTTCAGGGAAGCCACCCAGTTTGGAAATTCAGATCTGGCAAATAAGCAAAGGGAACATTGGTCCCAATAATTTTCCAGGGCATCCATTCTCTCTGACGTGTTAGATTCCCGTTAGCATTAACCAGAGGCAAACATTTGTTTTATTCTGTCGATGGGCCGTTGGGCTATAAAACACCTTTCCTGACAAGGTTAAGGCCACAGAGTCTGACACTGATACTATCTTGAGTTGTGTGAATGTGTGTGTGTGTGCCCATGTGTGTATGTGTGTGTGTGTTTTAAGGTAGCTTTATAGTTTTCTGTTTAAAGTATACGGGGCAAAAAAAAGAAACAACACACATCGCAATAAACTTGACTTCTGAAAAGTCCTCTCATTCTTGTAGGGAGCAATTTTGTTTTTTAAGAGCTGTTTCTTCATAAAGACAAAAGTCTTAGCAGTTTGGATTTCAGCTTTTGAGTTTTTCTTTTCTTTCTGTGGTATGTAATTTCAAATTGCGCTGAGGTTCCATCTGCCTGGAACTTGGTGAATACAGCTCAATGGCGCCCCCTGAAGGCCAATGGGGAGGGGTGCAGTGAAAGAGGAGGAGGTGAGGAACCCGGAGCCCTGTCCCATCCACCCAGAAAAGTCAGTATCTAGGCAGGCCCAAAGGCAGAGTCGACAAAACCAAGTAGATGCAACTGTTTACGTACGTGCCCACCTAGATGAAAAGAGATTGGGCTTTGGCATAAAACAGGCCTTGGATTGACTTCCAGTTAAGATGAGTTATTGCATCCCCCGACTCAGTTTCCCTTTCTGTATAATACGGAATGCAAAGCAATATTTTTTTAGGTGCTTACCGAGTGGCAGGCTCCGAGTGTGTTCACAAAAACCCTATGGCTTACATGCTGTTATCTGTGTTATACAGAGGAGGAAACTGAGGCCCAGAGTGAGTTACAAACTTTCACCCCTGGTACTCGGCAGAACCAGGTTTGCAGCCTCTTGGTGTAACCGGGAGCCCGGACTCATCACGCATCGCAGAGCCGCCCATGCCTCCCCAGCTGGGGAAATGGCCGCTGGGAAAATGGCCGCTGTTGAACTCTGAGCCTCGCACAACATAAACACCCAAGAAATAGTAGCTATAATCAAGTTCTCCTTCTTTGAGCCACTTCCATATGCATGACCGGAGGCAAAACACGGTGACTTCTCTGTGCCTCAGTTTTCCCATATGGAGAATAGGTCTGTGGAAATGTCCTCCAGGCACTATTTAGGTATTCAATGCTAACCTGAGTCTCAGAGAATCTACAAGATAAATCACTCACTTCACCCCTCAGGACATTTCCTCATCCATGAATAGAAGTGGTTGGTGATCCTTAAGAACACCAGTAGGGTCACTGAACACTATACTGGTTCAAAGAGAGTGAGGTCATTTCTGTGAACCACTGAGAGAGACAAAGAGTATTGAGGACTGGAGGCATGAGAGCCAAGATCCATGGGCTCCCCCTCAGTGCTGCCCTTGCTGAGGGAACGTTCTGGAGCCCTCTTAACAGAAAGGCTGGGTGAGTCTACAATGTGATCAGCAAACAGGCTTGGAAGCTAAGAGGTATTCCGAAGGCTTTCTAGTGTTCTGACCCACCCTTTGGGCTCACTTGTCCATCCAGTGACACAGCGCGTCTAATCTCTACCTCACTCAATTAGAAATAGCGAAAGAAGGAAGAATGAATGTAGGATACAGTGGGGTCTCTGATTAGCTGGGCTGAACTCTACTTCCCACCGTTAGGTGGGAGAGAATCCAAAATGATTTAGCACCTCACAGTAAAAATTATCATACATGCAGGGAATCGGTTAAAAGAGACAACTAAGAGGATGCTTGCTGCATTTTAAAACTCAATTAGATCTTGGGTGACTGCTTTTTTCACTCAGCGTAACATCTTCCAGTTTCCTCCATACTGTCACATATGGAAGAATTTCCTTCTTTTTGGAGGCTGAGTAATATTCCAGTGTGTGTGTTTGTGTGTGTGTGTGCGCGCCACCTATCTTTGCCCACTCATCTGTCAATGGACATTTAGATTGTTTCCAGATCTTGGCTACTGTGACCAGTGCTGCCGTGAACATGGGAGTGCAGATATCTCTTTAAGATCCTGATATCAATTCTTTTGAATAAAGGCCCAGAAGCGGGATTGCTGGCTCATCGGGTAGCTCTATTTTTTATTTTTTGAGGTACCTCCATGCTGTCGTCCGCAGCTGCGCCATTTTGCATTTCCACCAACAATGTGCAAAGGTTCCAATTTCTCCACATCCTCGCCATTGCGTGCTGCCTTTCTTTTCTCACAACAGCCAGCCAGACAGACGTGAGGTGATATCTCATGGTGGGGAAACAGGAAAACGAGTTGTCACATTAATAGGTAAAGAAACCAGTAAGTAAGTATTGGGGCAATAGGCATACCACATCAGAAAATAAGTGATGCATACATCAAATAATACGGTTAACTCTTACTTTAAATTCTTGGCCTTCTTATTGTTATTAACTTGTGACAATAGAAAAATTCAGTTCAGGGAGGACTTCCCAATTATATCTGTTACACACACACACACACACACACGTACAATGTTATTATACAAAGAAACTCCCTGTCTGCATTTCTAAAGAAAAGGACAGTTGACTCGAGGGATAAGAGGCGAGAAGAGAGAAGCTGTCTTGAAACGTGCCTTCCAGAGGGAGGCCAAATATAGGGGCATTTCTTTGGAGAAGGGAGAAGGGGGTTGAGGTTCCTCCCGATATAGCAACTAACTAGCATGAGCCAGATTTTCAAGGAAGTCTGGCTTTTGTCCCTTACTAGAAGATGGCCCTCTCGGCAGCTTCCCTGGACTGCAGCATTGGGAACCTGTGCTCTGCGGCTAGAGAGACCCCTTCTGCTCAAATGCTGCTGGTGCAAGGCGACCAACCACAGAGACCTCACAGGAGATGTGGAGAAACAGGAGATGCCCAAACCCGGCTGGGGTCTGGGCCGCCCCGCGAGCCAGAGCACCCCGCTGCCCCTCACTGCGCACACCCTGGGCCCCCATGTCATCCAGCCAGCTCTTCCCAGCTCCCGTGACAGCTGGGGGCGGGGGGACAAAGGTGGGCACATTGCTGGCCCTTTCCATGAAACGCTCGGAGCCCGCCGCAGGAGAACACGGGCACGTGTGACTATAATGTGGGTGGAGGGTCTTTAATGGAGGGCGTAGCAAGGGCAGTGATGATCCTTTTGGAGGAACACACAGAACTTTCTCAGAGGCCTGGTGGAGGGAGGCCTGGCACCGTGGGACCCCAGGGTTTTTTCCGGGGCTGGGGCTTGCAGTGGGAAGCCGAGAATGGGAAAAAGCCAAGGCTGGAAAGGCAGGATGAGGGGATGTGGAAGGGTCCTGTGGGCCCCACGGAGGGTTTGCGGTTTGTCCTGTAAGCAATGTGTGGCCTTGTAGGATTTTAGTGAATGCTCAAGATTTAGAAAGGAAACCCGGGAGTCCTCCAGGATGCACACCTGACCTGGGTTTGGAATGACACAGGGACAAAGTGACAAGACAGTGGCCTCCCAAGGAGCCAGAGACATCTTCCCTTACTTAGCCTCCATTTTACTGCCTAAACATCATTTATCACCTCTTTCCTGAGGACGGTGTGATGCATTTATGACCAGAGGGGCTGGCTATGGAGGCCCATACCAATTCCTAATTTAAAGCACATAATCACAACAACAGAAAAGTGTCTATCCCTGCATGGGACTTCTGAGGCAACTAGAATCTAACTTAGAGAAAAGCAGCGGTAAAGAGATGAAAAAACAAATATAAGAAAGAAAGGCATTACTAAATTTACCTTTAGAGTGCATGAGTTTTTTAAGAAAGATAAATCACATCACCCTAGTCACTGGGTGGCCCTTGTGATGGAAGAGGTCAGTAATGACTCGTGTCCCAAATGGCCCAGACCTTTAGCATCTCTGCAATTTTTTTTTTTTAATGCCCATAAAACAATGCTCCCGACAAGGCCCAAATAGAATAACTGACCAGGGGCGCCTGGGTGGCTCAGTTGGTTAAGCGACTGCCTTCGGCTCAGGTCATGATCCTGGAGTCCCTGGATCGAGTCCCGCATCGGGCTCCCTGCTCAGCGGGGAGTCTGCTTCTCCCTCTGGCCCTCCCGCCTCTCATGTGCTCTCTCTCATTCTCTCTCTCTCAAATAAATAAATAAAATCTTTAAAAAAAAAAAAAAAAGAATAACTGACCAGAAATCAGAAGCCTGAATTCCTGCTCAAGCAGAGCCTGGACCTAGGTGGCTCTCCCGGACAGACATCTGGGGCCACCCTGGGTTCTGGGCTCCACCTCCTGCCATCTGCGAGTCCTGGGTACAGAGAAGATGTGAAAAGTCCGTTTGGCAACAAGGAGTAAACGGGGGGATTGCTCTGTTGATCCAGAAAGCGGCATCATTGTCCTAAAGCCCCTGGAGCTGCTGAACTGATCCCAAGCCCAGGGAATATTCCAAAGCCTGGGGCTTTGCCCGAAAGCCCCTCAAGCGTCTGCCCTCTCCACAAGGTCGGCAGCGGAAAGCGATGGCCTCCCAAGCTCCTGTTACCAAGCAGGGGCTCTAAGTCGGGTAACGTGAGCCTTCCCCCGGGGCCCCACCCCGTGGCTTTCTCATAACCCTGGCTGCCCTGGGCAGACAGACTCAAAAGCTGCTGGCAGTCCTCTTTCTGGAAAAAAGCAGGAAATGGGGCTCCCCGAGATCCTGGAGGGGTCTCTCCTCAAAGGCCCTTGCAAGGCCAGGGGCATCCCCTTGTGAAGAAGGGCCATCTGATTAAAGCCACAGAGCCTGGGGGCTTCACGGTGACCCCCCAGGTATAAAGAAGTCCAGGCTCCTACCTCTCAAGGGCAGGGGCCTCCCTTGTTTGTCCCTAGGCTGCCCCTGCCTGGCACACTTCTTGGGCATGCATTGTTTACCGAGTGCACTGAGTTGATAGCAGAATTACATCTTCTTCATCACCTCCATCCCCATCATCACTGTCACCACCCAAAAAACAGCAGCAACAGCCGTCTGAGCACTTCGGGCGCCCCCACCCTACCATCTCCAGCAACCCCATGAGGTGGACCCCGTTATCAGCCCATTTTCCAGATTAGGGCTGGGCGCTAGCAGAGTCGGGCTGCGCCCCCGGCCTGGCCGACCTGCAGCGCGTGCACAGGTCACTGCCTCTCAAAGGCACCCTTCTCCTTGCCCGGTCCCCAGCCCCAGGAATCCCTGAGACCATGCCTCAACAATGGTCTCCCTCCCAGCCAAAGGGATGACAGCCAGGAGGGCACTTCCTCCCCATTTGCAAACCCAGGAAATATTGTTGGCATCGTCCTCTTCCCCCTCGTCTTCCATTCACGCAGCAAAGAATTTTGGGGTGCCTACAGTGTGGTCTGCTGAGCACCTGAGATAACTAGTGCCCATGACACATGTGGGTCTGTGTAGGTGAGTGTCTGTGTGTGTTACTGAGGCCAGTGGGGAGTGAGGGCTGAAGACAGGGATGAGCAGGAGTTACAACAACCAGAAAACCCCTGTATCTATCTAGTCTCCTTGCCTCTAACATCTGCTGCCCTCACAACCACCGACCGCCCACGCCTGCCTTCCTAGATGACATCCAGAGAGCTATCTCAGGTACCTGCTGTCAGCCCCTGCCCACTAGCATCGAGTTGTGGGAAAAGCATAGATATTAGAACAAATAAAACCTAAGTCTGAATTCCAGTTTCACCATTCCCTAACTGATGACCTTGCTGAACCTCAGTTCACAGCTGTAAAATAATTTCCCCTTAGGGGCTCTTGGATGAGCTGTACAGATGTGGAAAGGTAGAGAGAAGCACGGAAGTAGCTGGTAGACACATGGGAATGGTACTTCCTGATCGTACCCCCCCACCCCCTTTATTTTCTATGAAACTGGAGTAAGAGCCACTGCAAAGACCAGAAAGTGAAATATTTAAAGGAAGCTTGAGGTGGGGGGGGGGGGGCGGGGAGAAGATTTGAGGTTTGAACCCCGAATGGGGGTCATGGAAGAAGGGGGTGATTAAAAGCAGGTAAAAGAGCTGATGGGAAGCTCCGAGTTCTAGCTGAGTTAGGAGACTGTGAAGTTTAGTTGTAAAATTACACTTAAAAACAAAAAGTAGTTAAAAAACGGCAGAGGATCATGAAAAGTCATACAGAGGACTCCTGCAGCTCCACTGGGGGTGGGGGTGGGGGACATGGGGGAGCAGGGACTTGATGGGACGAGGGAGAGAAAATGGGCAGTGGGTAGAGGGGCAGGAAGGGGTGCCCCTGCGATGGCCCAATGCCACAGGGATAAGCAGCATGGCCGAACGTAGCCGATCTCAAATACCTGAGCTTTGGTCCAAATGTGTTTGGAGCCAAAACTCACCTCAGATCTGAGACAGAACTAAACTTCACTTCGGGGAAGCAAGAGGGCTGGCTGTTCAGGCTGCCTGTCAGTCACTCAGGGAACATCCTCCCATTCCGCGCACGCCCTATCTCCTAGAACCTGCTCCTGATGAGCTGTCTCCTTGTTGGGAGTCATGCTGAGGGACCAGGGCAGGGGCTAGGCAAGCCAGGGGCCCAGGGCATAAAGCACAAGGAATACTCGCTCTGGGTGATGTGCAAGTTCAGGTCATAGCTGCCCATTACCCTGCAAAAACGACTGTACTCAGCTCGGCTGAGCTCCAGGGTGTAAAAAGAATGAAACAAACACGCTGCCCAGTCTTGAACTTGAACTTGCAGACTAACACGGGCAGTATTTTAGAAACAGGCAAAAAAAAAAAAAAAAAAACCTGCACAAACTCTTAAAAAATAAATTACTAAACAGAATCAGCATGATACAAACATGTCCTGCTTTTGCCAGGAGATGATTTAGGAATCCAGTACATTCACGTTGTTTTTGCTGTCTATAAATGATGGGGCTGTGAGAGCCTGAACCACCATCAGCCTGGGCTCCAGAATCTACTCCCAACACCACCAACAAGCATTTCCTGAACAGTTCTCATGAGCCAGGGGTTCTAATCCCAACCAGGGTCCTTCGTTTCTGGAAGTTTTCAGTTCGGCGAGTCCAGCCCGGGGCAACCCAGGAGCCGTCCCGTGCAGGACTCCCACCGCGGGAAGCAGCTACTGGCCGGTGGCTCCGAGAGCCCGCCCCCTGGTGGCCACACGCCCTGCCTGCACCGTGCGAGCCCGCCCCCCAAGCACGTGAGAAAGCTGTCATTCCGACAGACCGCGAAGCCCCACCTAAGCTGCTGCCCCTTCCTTTCCCTTTCTCCCCACCTGTTTCCACGAATTAGAAGCCACTGAAATGTAAAAGTAAATAAATAACAAATCGTAGCAGGAACAACCGAAGAACCTGAGAGAGCTACTGAGTGTCCCCTTGGCCTTCCTGCCCATGGGAGCCGGCCACAGGCAGCTTGGGAATCTCACTCTTGAGGTGCCAAGAGTAACAGGAGCCGCCGACCAGAAATACGTGTGCTTCTTCCCCTCCTTTTCCCGCTGGATTATTTTCCCATCACCTCCAGCTTGAGGGCCCACAGGAAGCAGGCAAACTCTACTGGCAAACTCTGGAGAATGACAAGCTTGGGCCATATTTCCACACGCTTCAAGTGGGCCCACGGAAGACCCTCCTGGTTCTCTCATTAAAAAAAAAAAAAATGGTGTCTTAAGGAAAATGGAACAGGTAAGGACGGACCCCGCAGATGAATCTCTGTGCCCTATGCAGCTCTGGCCCCTGGCAGAATCTTCCAGCTTCCTTTTCATTGCTCTCCTACAAAAGGATGGATCCCAGGGAGGCTAAGATTGGTACAGGCAGTCAATGAGAAAGGAGGCTCTGCAAATTATATTTCATTCCATCATTGTCAAAGCCAAACAGGAAAATCCAAGAAAAAATAAAACCTGAGTTATTGGATTTGGATTTTAATGATCATGTTGACTATGTGTTTCTTATTTGTCATATCTTCACTCTGTTGGATGGCTATTTTCATATAGCCACAGGCTGGAATGACAGGTAATCAGCAGAGGGAGGAAAAAAGAAAGGGGGGAGGGAGGAAGGAGGAAGGAAGAAAAGGGAAGGAGGGAGGGAAGGAAGGAAGGAAGGGAGGGAGGGAAGAAGGAAGGAAGGAAGGAAGGAAGGAAGGAAGGGAGGGAGGGAGGGGTGGGAGGGAGGGAGGAAGGAAGGGAAGGAACTGGGCTGACTCCATTTTCAGATGCTTAAAGCCCATGTCAACAGAGACTCTTTACTGTGGCATATACCTGTGTCCTTCAGGTAATATCCCCCATTCTCCAGGTTCCTTAGTTCCTAAAGTCACATGTTTGGGGTCCCATGCCTGTAGGACCCTTGGGGGGAGCAGGGGGAGCAGAGAGGCTAATGCATACTGTGGTATCAATGAGTAATATTTACCTCCTCTCATTTAACATTTGGAATTCCAGCAGCCTTTATTGCCCTGACCTCAGTGAGTGAGGGTTATGAAATGCTGATCCCTCTCCCAGGGGGGATGTATTTGTAGGGCAGGAGGGAGAGTTGGGAGCTCTTTAATTACCTACAGATTTTATACTGCTTGTATGACTGGGCCAACATAACTGCTTTACCCAGAGCTGAAGGAGGCCCATGAGGGTCCTGGCCAAAGGCAGGCTCTGGAGCTCACGGTCTCTGAAATCATCATTTGGAATTTACAGAGGAAGTCCGAGGATTTGGGGCAAGTGGGGAACGGAGCAGAGATAAGAGAAAAGAAGGAAGCCAGCAAGAAGGGGAAAAAAGAACTCCTTTGGGAAGCATCCAATGCGATTTGACTCTCCTGTTGCACATACTGTATCCCTGAGCCGGAAGTCTCTACAGGATGTGTTGGTCCTGATGGAAACAGGAAACTTGTGAAGAAGTATCTAGAAGAGGAAGAAATGTTTCAAAAGATAAATCAACACTCTGTAAACCCGGTAATGGTGCTTGTTTGGACACAAGCTAAGACAAACAAGACACCAAATGATCCTGAAAACACAGAGCTTAGCAGACCGCGAACAGGGACCCCAAGGCTGTGGGCTGTTGCCACCGGTCAGGCATGATGACCCCCAAACCCGCAATTGCTTTCCCTTAAATACCTAGCATTTTAAGCAAACAAAATCTAATGCCGTTATAACCTCAATGGACCTCCATTCCTCCCTTCTTTTATAAGCATAAAGAGTTTCTATCACTTTCGACTCCACTTTTTTAGGAAATAATTTCTGACTGCCCAAGACCAGGGAAGGGATCCCCTCCTGCGTGCTCCTGGTTTCCAGGACCCTGTTATAAAATAATCTGTTTTGTAATCGCCTGATGACTTATCTGAATCCCTTACTCTATAAACCCA